GATCAAATTGCTATCAATATCTGATCAATATGATTTTTTGTAACGATGATATACTCGACGAGCTCTACATATTCAGCGGTTTGAATTATTGAGACGAGTCCAGAATCGGACCCACCATGGCCCAATAACACTATCCAATCTGATTTCGAACTAAAGCGAAACTGTAACTTTTTAATTACAGTCCTTCCAAAACTTTAAATTTTTCCTTCTTTTTCTTTACACTAAATATTATTCCAAACACACTCCCATTTTTACATCCCTAACCAGCCAAATCCAAATTCAATCCCTACCTCTAACCGCCACCCTACGATCCTCTTCCTCCACCACAAATCCTCCCCTCCCTCCCCCCGGGGCGTTAACCCCACTCTCCTTTTCCCTAAATCTCATTTTCACCAACTCCATGATGTCAAAAATGGCAAGGAGTGTGTAAGGAGGATAAGAGAGAAAGTCCAACATCTATGTGTTGCTTGTGTGTGCACAGCGATTTTGACTCTTTTTTAAAACAAAATATTGTAAAAAAAAAAAATTTGAACAAAGGCACATAGTATTTGTATCCTCATTGCATGACAAGTCTATATTAAAAGATTTTATACAATAAAAATTGTTGATGCATCTTTTTAGGGTTATACAATGATATATACCCTTAAAAGGTAAGTTATAACATTTGTAGGATTGATTTTCAATGTTATAACTAAATTCTTTTTTTAGTCATAACTTAAAAAAAATGAGTCATAACTAGATATTACATAAAGTATAACTAAAGACATTTTGAATCATAACCAAAAGGTAGTGTGTATAGATGTAATCGGTTAGGTACGATTGGTATTTAGGTAAAAATTTTCACCAAACCGCGGATATTAATTTTACTATTTTCAATACTGATACAAACCGCTTCTCCCATCAAACCACATTAAACCGAATCGGTTCGGTTTGGTACAATTTGTTGGACCATTTTAATATCTTTTATTTATTTATTTATTTATATTGTTCATGAATCTTCTTTTGTCTTATTCATGAATCTCATCTTATTCATGAATGGAGATTCATTACTTTAGTGACCTTTTGTCTTGTTCATGAATAGAGTTTAATTAGAATTCATGAACTTGGTGGTGAATTAATATTTGGATACATTCTCCATTTTCTCTAGATTCATAGTCAATATTATTTTTTGATGTATTTTGTAATGTCCTAGTGACCTATAAATAGTTCATCTCTTCTACTCTTTTCTACAACCAGCACATCAACTATTTTCTATACAAGAAAAATTACAAACAAAGAATGGTGTTTTTCTTGGTGGAGTACCATACGACAAGTGGTCCGGCTGTTGTATCCTGGAGGTGACAAGTCATAGTTTATGACTGCTGTATCGGTATTTGGATTTTTCCTACCGCAGTGAGCTTGATTTCTTTAAAGAAAACGAGATATACGTGCCTCAGCCTAATCTATTTCTATCTCATTTTCTTTGCATTATTTATCAATAAAATATAATTTTTTCTAATATTTTTACTAACAAAATTTAATCAGCCTACAACCTGTCAAACTTGAGTCACTTTTTAATATAGCCACTAATCTATGTAAAAATATTAAATTAATTATTTGTCCACTACTTCAAACAAATCCAAACTATCCATTTAATAAATACTTTTTAATTCATAGATTAACAAAAATACAAACAAACAAAAAAAGTTAAAAGCTACTAGACTTTAAGAATAATAGCCTTTGTTTGGCATGTTGGTTTTAAGGGCTAAAAGGTTAAAATAGTTACAAAAAAATAAAAATAGGTTAAAAAGTTAATAAGATAACATGTCGCATCTAAATCATAATCATTTCACTCTTTATCTCACAAAAGTCAAAAAGTCTATCCAAACGAGACTTTTTAACCCAAGTTAAAATAGCCAAAAAATTAATCCACTTTTCAAACCAAGTCATAATAAATTATAGTTAAGATTATATATAATAAGAGTTTACAAATTAAAGTTATAAATATGAAAAAAAATAAATTAATTAAGCTTAATAATTTATTATACTTATTAATATCATTAAATTATTAAATTATGTATATTATAAAGACAATACATGTTGAAGTGGTCGGTTTCGATTTAATTCAATGCAAAACGTATTTAAACCGATACCGAATCGAAAATAAAAAAAAATCAAATTAAAAAATCACACAAATCGATTCTTTTTTTAAAAAAAAACCAAATATAATCGATACGGTCTATTTCAATTAGTTTAATCGATTTTTTCAATTTTTCTTACATCCTTAATAATGTATATGATAAAATTTTCCTACAAATATATAAATATATGTGTCTAAAAATTGTCCATTATTTTGGAAAGACCACGTGAAAGTGTTTCCAACTAACAATATTTTGTGATTTTCTCACGTTTTATTTTTTAAAACCATATAAATAACTTACTTTTATTGAACGAGCACGTGGCCATATAAAGTTTTTAGAAGAATAATTGCTCATGTGTGTTAGGCATTTGGGTATGATTTTAGTTCTGTTTTCCATTCTCAAAAACGAAAACCAAAAATTGTTACTAAAACTTTCGTGCAAATTATTTCCAAAAATCACCTTTTTTTAAGAAAACACTACTATTTTTTGAATTTTCAAAAATTATTTATGCACAAAATGATATGTAAAGTTATTTCCAGGATTTTTATTGTTTATATATTTATAAATAAAAAAAAATAAAATAAAAAAAGAAGAATTTGAACATAAACTTGAGAAGCCTATAAAACCCACCACATGTTTCATTTTGATGATCCATACCGTTCATATTTCAAGATTTGTTAAGTAAAAAATTTATACAAAAAATAAAGATAATCGGATATCGATAGCTATATATTTAAATCAAATTTGAATTATAAAAAATGAATAGTAATTTTTAAAATTTTATTTGTCGTCTATTTTTTAAAAACAAATATGATTCAAACTTATAACTATTGATATCCATTCATCTTTGATTTTTTTGCATGAATATTCTACTCAACAAATCTAAAAAAATGAATGGTTCAAACCATGAAATTAGTTCAAAAATGTGTAAGATTTAATAATACATGTAACCATAATAATAATGCGGAATTAAACTTTACAGGATCTTGAATTCAATACAACTCAAGAATAAAACGAATATACCTTTGTCAGCCATTGAATTTGAGAAGTTGAGAAAATACCCCTTTAGAGTTGAACCTTTAATTTTGGCTCACCTTCTTCTCTCTGTCTCTCTTAATTAGGATGACTATAAAACTTAAAGTGAATACTCATGATATGAAAGGGGAGTCACCCATCCTTATATAGAGGAGAGAAGAGGGCCAGATAAACTCTATCGGAAGAATTCCTAATCCATCAAGGTTTCCTTCTTATCTTAGAAGAGCGATTATATTAAAAATCTATTTACTGAACTTGATCTCAAATATTGGCTTTATCTATTTATGGAGTCCAAATAAATTAAAACATGTAAGCTATTGGGCCACACTAGATAAATAAATCCAACAAAATGAACCTATTAAATCCAAATGCTCTCTCAAATTGAAATAATAATTTGAGAGAAACAATACCTTAAAAGAAATAAACAAACAAACCTTTTGAAAATAATACCAGACGAAGGAAAGTATATTTTCATGTCAAACAATATCATTAAAACCAAAATTTTCAAACCATACAATCATCCACCAATACCATAAAGCAATTTACAATTTGCATCAAAGCAACTTTCCTTTGTAGCTTCCTATATATCACCCTTCAAAAAGTTTTGCGCTTTGTTTAAGGGGAATTTTTTTTAAAATTCATAATATTATAATTTTATAAGATAAATGACATAATATTTTCATATTAATTAAGGTTCTCAATAGTTCTACAGAGAAAATTTCACTTTGACTCAAAGAAATTTCTCTGATTTTATAGAGAAATTTCAAAATTTCTCTCAATCAGGACCAAAATTTTTCTAAGTCAAGTGAAATTCCTCTAAATTAGATAAAAATTTTCTGAGTCAAATTTTATCTATAAAAATATTGAGAGATCTTAATTAATAAAAAATATATATTTTAGACCTCCTACTACACAAAATTGAAGAGAGATGTTTCACTAATTTTCTCATGCCTAAATTATAAATTTAAATATAAATTTGGAGAGAAAAAGAAAAATAGAAACAAATTTTATTTTATATTCACATTCTCCTCACATTTTCTTTTTTCTTTTTAAATTCCTACACAAATTCATAATCCAAATACAACCTCACAAAGACACTAATTGAGCTACAACTAGCAACTTCCAGTGCCAACTTTCGTAATAAACTCAGTGACACAACTAAAATCAATTATTATGGGAATTTTACAAAAAGAAAACTCAAACCCAACTTAACTTAGGATCATTTTTTTCAATCATATATGAACCATATATACTGTAGATATATATAGATATGAAAAGAAAAATATTTGGTAGCCCGAATTTTTGTACCTCGAATGGCTCGAATGTGTCAAAACGAAATCGTTTTACACCCAAAACGACGTCATTTTGAGTGTTTCAAACCATTCGAGCCATAATTTTTCGGACCACCAATCAGCGTTGAAATCCATGCAATGAAAACTGAAAATCTATAGGAATAAGATGTTCAGAGATTAGGAAAAATTGACCTTTAGCAATTTTTTCCATCCAAGATACAATCAATGCAACCTATCATGTGTAAACACGTGGCAATATGCGTTCATAATAAACATCCACCTCAATACTCATTCATCCTAAACATTCATTTCATGAATTTGGACACGAAATGATAATTAAAAAAAAATTATAAAAAAAAAAAAAAAAAATTATTCATAGCCAAACCTTGGGTGTAAGCATATCGAGGCATATTAATGGTGAGGGTTAATAATACCATAGGATTGGTTATCCAGCCAAATTATTTTGGAGTAAAAATAAGGGTGTTCTCATCTTCATTGAAAAAATTCAAAATATATTTTTTAATTAAAAAACACACAAAAATCTAAAAACATGTGTATAAAGAGTGACCATTATCTAAAAAATAATCAAAACAATTCCAAAACATCATTTACTTTATCATCTCAAATGCTGCAACCCAACTCGTACTAAATATCCTACATTTTTGTGGGATTGTGTCCAATGGTTACCAAATCCGGGCAATAAAATTGCAACCAAAATGGTGGAAAGTGAGTCCCACAGATTTGTAATCCCAATACCACTGATAATCCGGCCAAATCAAACAGGCACCAAATGTACAGTATAGCAGTTACCTCTACCTTGCAATGCCCTCATTTTCCTCAAAAAACTTCTCTTGTGTATATTTCTTAGGCAACCCCATTGCCATCATTCAAACCCAACTCTAGCATTGAGTTAGCAACACAATAGAAATTGATGGCAATGACAAGTTATAATGAGATAGCCATTAGTTGCTCAAGTTAACATATTGCAAAATCCCAGATCACCTTTGTGTGATGTTAACATCAGCATCAGCAACACCAGACAGTGGAGTCTGTGGCCGTGGAGTACCAGTATCAGCCATTCCAAACTCCTCGTGAAGTATATCAACTCCATCCCATTCAACAACAGCTGTTTCTCAAGTCAAGGAATTGAGCATTCAAACTAATAGAAAAATATAACCAAAACATAATTTCAAAAAATAAAAAATTACAAGAGGATACCATCTGTCTTCCACATGTCAGTAATGCTAACGTCTGCATCTGATAGGAGCCAGTAATCTGCATCATTCTATAATAAGTACAAGAGGTTAGAATGTTCAGACAGGAAACGAAACCAGTGAAAGACGTTAGCATGTTCAGACATAAAATACATATTTGACGAGAAAATTCTGCTGAAACTTTTACTTTCGAAATAAAGGCCTTGTTTGATTGACGGAATTAATAGTGAAAGGATTAATATTCTCATGAATTAGTGTAGGATTAGTTATCAAATTAAATTAGTGAGATAATCATTTATTATGTATTCATTTTGTTTTTTTCCTTTTATACTTGAAATTTTGATCCACAACCTCTCTCAATATTAAAAGTTCACCAATTTCATTGGATTGAATATCCGCCGTACATTCAATTTACTCAATAAAATTTGTAATCAAACATGGGATTGTGAGTCTATGGACTAACAATCCCAATCCTATGTTATAATCCAACTAATCAAACATGCCCTAAGGGAGCAAATGTAAGCAAGAGGTTGAGGAAATTTTGGACAGGTCGTTTACATCTTAGACAATACCTTTTGAACCTTGAATGCACCCATAGATGTTGGCACCACATAAAAAAGGTCCGACAGGAAAGAACTAGCAAGGAAACTAAGGATGGTGAGGTGATTTTGGGTAATCTCACATCTTTTTTTTTTTGGTAGGTAAAAGAATAAACTTGCACCATAACCCCAAAAAAATTTGAAAAATTACATCCTGTCACAATATGATGAATTTTTTTCAAAAAACATCGAAATGCTAAAATTCTAACTAGACTTGTCCTTCGGTCAAACTTCACATCACTATAATGACACAGTTGTGTATCATGCAGCGGAATCCAAGCCCAAGTTTTAAGAAATTAATGAAGGTTTGCAGGTTAAAGTTAGTGATAAATATATAAATGCGATTTATACATCCAAAAATCTGAGTACTAAAAACATTTGGTGAACATATTCACATCACAGTATCTAACTATCAATTCAAATGAATAAGTCAGAATAACAAAACTTACATCGATGTCAGAGGGGACAATTTTCATGATGCCCCCAGCATAATCCTGTGAAACATTCAGATCAGAGCTCAATCCATGACCGTCTTGTGCCCGTGGTTCAATCTCTACACCAATGCTTCCTGTGGTCGTCTCTGTTGCTGGATTTTCATTGGAGCCTGAACTCGAAGCAATGGGAAAGTTCATGGATGGCTCACCACCATTCATCTCCTCAAACTTCTCCTCAAATTGGCTAAAATAAAATTTTGGAGAAAGAACATGAACAAAGAAACAAGGAACTTAGGCTCTGGAGGGAATGGAGATTGTATATATACTTGTGTGAATATTGTACCAGAAAGAAGGCTGTTACCTTACAAGGTAGACATCAATGGGACCCATTGTGCTTCGAAGGATTATTCTATATCTCCTCTGTGGATAGTCAACAGCCTGATACAAAAGAGCAATTTCTTTTATGCGTCGGAAACATGGAAGTTAGATCATCACACAAGGGTTCCTCTTGCTAACCTCATCTGGATCTGGAACTTCAAGAGTGGTCCCATGAGGAGCTTTGATTGCTATTAGAGTTTCATTCTGCAAGAGTTAAGACATAAAAAAGGTTCAAGTACTGATGAGATTAGAGCATTATAAAGGATGCCATGCCAAAAGTGAGATGATCGCAGTGCTTGACAAAACTGACCTGAAAGCAAGGTAGGCCCTTGATATCCTCTTCAGTCACAAAAAGCCACCTGAATTAGTTGGAAGATGAACAAATGTTTATTGGCTGAACAAATAGTCCAACTCATTTATTTTATAAAAAATAAAATAAATAAAAACTGAGTCAAGGGTGAGAAGCAAAAAATCACTTTTGATTGTTTTCATCTTCACTCAAATCCCTCAATCTCTCCTGCATTTCTCTGCAACAATCTAGAAGAATCAGCAAAATCCAATGGTTTAAAGATAATCCCATTCATTGCTCTGGCAATTTAATAAATCATATAACCTTATGCGATCATCTAATCTGCGCTCTTCCATAGAAAGCTTTTCAACTTCTGCCTGCAGGGGAAAAAAATTCACAAGATGATAACAAGATATCTAAGCAGAAAGTGTGGGCATTAACCAATCAACATAAAGAAACTGGAAAATTCATCACAAATCATATGAAAAGAGATTTGAACTATATGAAGCATTTGCATGAGAAAATTAAATATTGATTCTGCATACCTGTAACATGGTAATATCATCATCAACCTCCCCTGGTCTTAAAGCATCAAGTCCTCTAATCAATCATTGGAAATTCTCATATGAGTTCCAAATGCTTATAATCCCAAATAAAATGCTAAGTAAAAGCAAAATAATGTAATATCCTTAAACACGAAAAAACTGTTTACTTCCAACGAATTCTGTTCTTGAGCTTCTTCTCAATAAGACCAATTCCTTCAAGGACATTAGTGATGTCATAAATTCGCCTCTTTTGCACCTGCACCAGTATAAAATTTAATGAGAGCTGTACAAAATGAATAAATCATACATCTAGCAATGAGATTCACCTCCAAGGTGTCAGCAGCATTGTTTAAATCTAGAATACCATCTTCTGCATGCTTAATCAGATTGATGAACTTTTTCGTCAAAAGCCCTGAAAAAGGCATGGTAAATTCTACCACTCATATCTCTACTAAACTTGAAACTTGACATGAAAGTTTGAAGTCATATATGGAGAAATAATCTTAAATGCACTGGGTATGCAATTACCTAGGGAGCTATCATAACGGCAGTTACCAGCAGGAGTAAGAGGAGAGGGACAACCTGCACAGTAGCAACCTTGTTACACATTTGTTTCAGTTCAATTGCTTTTGGTAGGTAGAAAGAACGTCCCAGGAACAAAACCATTTAGGTTGAGGACTATGATTTCATTTAAGTTCATGTCCAAGTATTGGTAACAAAAGTCAGTGTTCAATGACTGGCATTAGAAGATTTTGGACATCTTATCTCACCAGAATTTGACAGAGGGGTCTGAGGCCCAGATCTGTTGCTTTTTGAGGCTTTTGACCGGCCATATACCCTTCCTCCTTTTCCAGATACAGGTGTCCGCAGGGGGCTGTTAGCTATATTAGTGCATCCAGGACTGCTAGTCCAGTCACTTGACACAACTTCATTATGGTCTGTTGCACTCTTCCGCTTCAATTGCTGAGAGACATTAATTCGAAGAATCAGTATCACCAACATATTGAAGCCCAACACTAAATAGAATTACATGTTGACAAGGGATCCAGTCCATGAAAGTTAATCATAACAGTAGACAGATGCAAAGTTGATGAAAGGTTTTATGCTTGTTGTAACCCAAACTTAAGGTGGAGATGACAATCAACGCCATGAAGAAACTGTAAGATCTCACTCCAAATTGTGTGAATAAATTGGTAGATGGATATTACAGATATTACAAACACAACTGGTGGTAAGATAAGACGTCATCAGTTATCACACCAAGATGCAGAAATGAATGTTCTTTTTGAAACGGAAAAACCAGTAATATAGTAAACAATTTACATATCAAATACTATGGCTTGTACTTGCAACACGGCAAAAAAAAAAATAAGATAAAATTCACTGTCATTGTTTCAGCATAGTTTACCAAGAAGTTTAAAAAAATTCTACACATTGAAGCTTCAACATCATTATCCAGCAATTTTCTAAGGCTCTATTTGGTTCTAGTGCTGGGGGAACTGGAAAGGAATGCAAAGGAAAGGGACAAAAGACTCCCTCCTATTATCTCCTTCACAGAAATAAACAAAAATCAAGGCTTGTATGGTTTCGTTTTCAAAAATTTTTGTTTTTGTTTTTCATTTTTCATAAGCAAAACAATAAAAAGTTCAAAAACACACAAATTATATTCGTTTTTGAGTTGAAAAAAAATTATGAAAATTCAGAAAACAATTAAAAAATAGTTCCTAAATAAGGGTGCTTTTAAAAAACTTTCAAGAGAACAGTTTTTGAAACAAGTTTTCCATATCAGTTTCTTTTCTTTTTTTCCTTTTTTTTTAAAACAACAAAAAGCTAAAATGACAGCAAACATGTCCTTAAATTTCTAAAAAAATCATGAATGATTAGCAAGAAGAGATGAGAAAATGACATCTACAACTAAATGTTTGTCGATTAAATAAATAAAAAATAATCAATGATTTACTTCGTCTAATGTATCCTTTCCCCTGTTAAATCTGTGAACCAAACATAGAAACTATTACCCAGTGCTTGTCCTGCCAATGAAATGTGTTTGCTGAGGTTCACTGGATACAGGCCTAACATCTTTTGCCTGACCCTAGAATCATTTGCAGAAATTGTTGCGTAAAACACAAACATGACATTGGCAAGCTTGACAGCCTGCCCTCTCATATCATCCAGCAGTAAATATTGCCCTTGAATTCAGTCAACCACCCCAAAATCACCCTTCATACTCAACTATGTGGGCTAATATAGGGGTTGCAGAGTGCCAATTATTTAAATAAGGAATTCCGAATGGAATGATTTTTAATACTGATTCTTTAGTTAAAAAAAACGCTCTCAAACTTTCGAATTGTTGAAACTTCTTTGGCATTCCCCTATTCACTCTTTGATCAGGCAATTCAAAGGGTCATAATTATTCAGCGAGCTGATAACTTTATTTCCCATCTCTTCACAGCGAATTTACAACATATTCCATCTTATTAAATATCTGCATTTTCAATTAAATTCTTGAAAAGTGTATCCAGCCTTCGAATGTGATATGTTAACATCTGTTCTATGAGAAAGTTTGTGGGTTCAAGCTTCATATATTCCCTTGAAGAGGTACTCTGTCACCACCATAACCAATGAAACTAACAACAGACGAACTCCTATAGCAGTACAAATCTGACTCCTCACGCCCCTACTCCCAGCTTAGCTCTAATCAACAAATTGGTAGATTCTTTCATGTCAGCCTAAATCTAAACTCACTAATCTCACATATGTGAACCAAGTTCTACTAGCAAAGTGGGCCAAACAAATAAAGAAAACACCAATTGACAGATAAGATAAGATACTTCGTCCATATAAACTAGAGAAGAAACTGTACATGGCATTACTTCAGAGGACAAACCAAGTAGCTTAAGAACAGTCACAGGCCCACAATTTTTAACTCCTCGTCACCAAAAAACACTGAAGAATTATTTCCAAGATTTAGATTGTAGCAAAACACCGCAATCCAAAACAATAAATGTGCTTCAGAAGATACTACAAACATTGTAGAAACAAATTTCTGCAATCCCCTCCTCAGAAACCAATTAGCAAAGAATCCAATCCATCTTCGCTAAATAAAGCACATGGGTTAATTTACTATCAAACGAAATGAGTGAAATTTTTTTCCTTTCCAGTTAGAACCATTTACTTCAATACCATGAATGTAAATTAAACGCGAAATCTGAAGCATATCCTACACAACAAACAAGTTACTGACTACTCAGTGGCAACAACCATGCGATTCTGGCATAACCAATACTAGTGCTTATCAGATACCACAACCAACCACACAAATCCAGCAAGAAACTACAAGGAAGAACAGTAAATTAAAAACTATAATGAAGTCAAGAGAGCCAATTATAGTCAGTTCCATATGATAAAAGGGACAAGATATGAGAACTCCATAATCAACATTCAATCCAATGCCACAAACTTGAATACACAACATCACAGCTACGCAATTTTAAAAAGGCATTCAAAGACTAATCACTATCATCACAATCATTTTCAAACCAATCGCATAATTAATTATCCTCAAAACAACAATCAACATGTTAATGTAAAATGTAAATTGTAAATTGTGTAAATTACCCCACCACCAACTCCACCTACCATCTCCACTACCACCCACCACCTCCACTACCATCCACTACCACCACTCACCTACCTCACCTACTCCCAAATACTCTCCTATATAATAGCTTGTAATATACAAAATATACACAGCAATCTTGTAATCAATACACATCAATAAATAATACATCTTTATTTCTACACAACAAAACCATAAAATCACAAACCAGCAATCAATGAACAGATTGAAACTCACCGGAGATTTCACAACAATAGCTTCAGCAACCTGATCGGCATCGACTCTGTGAGTCTCCCTCGAGGAGGACGAGAACCGATGGTAATCCTCGTGAGGAACGAACGGCGGCTTCATCGACGAGAACAGAAGGTGCCGCTTCATCGGCACCACCGCCGCCGCCGCCGCCGCAGGGCTTTTGGAAGCCTGAGCACCGGACATCAAAAAGAGTAATGGATTTGAAGAGAGAGATAGAGATTGTGAGGGGGATCTGAGAAATGTAGAGAGAGAAAGTGAAATTGAGAGCAGAACACGAGGGAGGGAGGGAAGGAGGGAATTTTTAGTTCGGATAGATGTGGAGGGAAGCTCTAAAAATAAATATGAAAAGTTGTGGGTCTTTTGCATTTATGCCCCCTTATGTTTCCATTTATTGTGTATTTTACCCTATGTTTTGGTGTTTGTTACATTTTCAAACTAGGGTTTGATGTTTGAGTTTGAGTTTGAGTTTGTGTGAGTGACTGCATTGTGATGTCATATTTTATCAAACCTAACCATGACCAACAGGCTACAGCATTCACTACAACTGGAATGAAATAATAAAATAAAGTAAAATATAAATAAAAATATTATGGACTCTTTTAGAAAGTGGGTTAATAGTTAAAAGTCAATTTTTAATTCATTTTTGATCACATTATCTCATATATTTTTTACACGTTTTTTTAAAAAGAATCAAAATATTAACTTTTAACCATATTTCCAAAATATACCTATATAAAATTATATGATTGAATTCTCCACCTATTTTACCTTAAAACAAAGAAATTATTACACCACTGCATTATTTTTGTAATAAATTTTGTATAAATTTTTTAGAGTATCATTTTTTTTTGGTTAAATAGGTAGACAATAATAGTCTCAATCCCTTTTATAAAAAATGTATAAGAATATACAAAAAGTAAATTGAAATTCTAATTATTTTAGCATGTGGTTCTTACCTTAAAGAAAGTCCATTGGACCGTTTAAAAATAAGTGTAAATTACACTTTATTCTCTTAAAGTTTATAGTTTTTAATTTGATTTTTAGAAGAAAAAAAAATCACTTTAACCCTTAACATTTGTATTTTTTTTTTTTTTAATTTACTTCCAATACAAATTTTAGTATAATTTTGAAGGGAAAATGCATGTAGCATAAAAATGAATAAATTATACTTTGTCCTTTAAGTTTTACAATTTTTCTAATTTAACCCTAAATATTTTTTTTTCACTTTGACCTTTATCGTTTGTAATTTCTCTCAATTTACTCCCAAAAGTACCATCCAATTTTTTTATTAAAAAAATGTCACGTTGATGGTCAGGTTAAATAAAAATAAATTTGATTAAAATTTTAACATTCAAAACTCAAAACGTTAAACCAAATTCATGTTTGATGGAGTTTTCGCAACTTATATTTCTATCTATTTTTTTTTTATAATTAGAAACAAGTTTGACAAAAATAAATATTAAAAAATATTTTTTTTATTTTTTAAAAAATATTTGTGCCTCAACAAAGAGAAAACCATATGAAAATAATTAGTTTTATTTTTTTATTTTTCTCACCAAATTGGTTTTTGAAAAAATTATGAAAAATTACAAACATTAGGGACCAAAGTGAAAAAAATAACTTTAAGGGCTTAAAGGGAGAAAAATGTAATTTATCCTAAAAACAAAGGGTAATGCTCTGATTACAAAATTAGTGTACAAGAAAATATTCAAAAAAATTTAATGTATGATTCAAATTCATTCAAAATATATAACAGTTGAATGTAAACTGCATTTTTTATTATTTTGGATATATTTTCTGTGCACATATCTTTATTTAAAAGAAATCAATATATGTCAAATTTGGGGTTGTTTGGGATGTCTTAAACAAGTGTACTTTTTGTCTTTTTGGACTAAAAAATTGAGGTTGAAAATATGGATGTTTTGGTTAACTTTTTGACTTTTTATGGAAAAATGTGTATTAAAAAAATTGTATAAATAAGTGTATAAGGGAAGTTATAGATGGAATAGCTCGTACGGTCGGAAACATGAGGGGCAGCGCGACAGAGGGTATAGTGTAGGAGATTGATTCTCTTCTTTTCGGACATAAATTGGACGGTGTTGTTCGGCTCATGGGGGCCCACCACGGGTTCCGTATTACTAATCGGTACTGTTTAATGTGTAGAACTCGTCGAGTACTATATGCTTGTAAAAAATCACGTTAATTGGATATTAACAGCTATTTGATTGTGTTAGTTTTTCTTGTCAACTGTTAACTATAACACCATCCATTTTTTATACAAAACTAATTTGATCATGTAGTTACTGATTTCCAATCAATAACAGGAGGAGGAGGAGGAGGAGGAGGGAGGGGAGGGGGCCATAAAAACCGGTTTGAGGAGGAGGGAAGGCTGGGACGGAGGAGGAAGCAGAGGCGGCGGCGGGGAGCTGCGACGACGGCGGGGCGGGGAGCTGCGACGCCGACCTTCTTCCTCTCCCTCCCTTCTCTTTCTCCTCTCCCTCTCTTTCTCTCCCTCTCCCTCTCCCTCTCCCTCTCTTCCTCTCGAGCCATTTCGAGTCTGGTAGCTTCGAGCTACCAGGCATTTTCCTATTATTTAATAGGTCTTGTGAGAATTAATTAGTTTTTTTCATCAAATACTATTAAAAAAAAGACGTTAATTGTTAATTTTCAACGATAATTTAAAAAAAGTTTTACAAAAAAAAAAAATCATTAATTATAAGTTTTAGCAACAGTTTAAAAAAATTATTATAAAAAAAGTCACTAATTTTCAACTTTCAACGATAATTTAAAAATTCGTCATAGAAAAACGTTAGTAATGGTAAATTTTAACGATAATTTATAAAAATCGTGACAAAAAAAGTCACTAATTATTAATTTTGAGTGAGGTGCAAAAAATGTCAAAAAAAAAATTTAGTGACGATTTTACTAAAATATATTTTCAATAAGATTTAATAGAAATCAAATCTAACTATGATGAGGATAGTTTACCCAACATAATTTATAACATGTAAAACGCATATAAAGAACAATTGTGCTGTGGGTTAGTTAAACTTGCAAGCCAAAAAGGTAGATGAATTTACAATATAGTTCAACTACATGGCAATATTTTCTTTGGGATCCACTCACCTCGATAGAAAATATTGAACTATCTTTTTGTGAATTCATCTATGTGTAAACTATTATTTTCCCTTCCTATAATCAACCAGCTCAAGAAATTATAGGAAAAAAAAATAATAATAAAAATTGAACGACTGCATTTGATCAGCATGACATGGCATAGAATCACTACAATAAATTAAAATTTTAAAGATAAAATCACTTTATATAAATCACTTTTAGAGACAAAAGTTTCGTTGTTGTGTTATTAGCAATGAATTGGACATTTAGTAATTGCTATACTTTTGAGGCTAATTTTTTCATCTAAAAAAATAAACTTTTTAGGTACTATATTATTTTGTCTCTAAAAGTAAATTTATTGGTGATATTTTTAAAATTTTATCACTAAAAATGCTACTTTTTAATTTTTAAGATGATACTTTAGCAACGACCCTGGCAATGATAGAAATTGGTACTCAATTTTTTTTTGTAATAAAATTTTAACTTTTGGAAACAAAAAAATTTAATCCCTAAAATCCTTATATGTTGTAATGATATCAAGTTAGCTATTTTAATTTTGGTAGTTTTGGCTCAACTAATGTGACTAGTGATTTTGGCTAATTAAACATTAAAAAAATTAACTTTGGATGTTTTGTGTTGAATTAATATAAAAATAATAATAAATACAAATGAGTTCAAATACTATTTAAATAATATTAAAAAAAGAACACGAATTACAAGACACTGGGATGTGGAAAAATATTTACCCAAAAATGGGAGGTGTACCTTTTGCTGTGATTTTTTTGCACAAAGACTATTTTGAGAAGATGGTTATAATCAACTTTAAAAGTTGATTATAATTAGTTTTTGTGAGAGAGAGAAGTGAGTTATAATCTGGAAAGTGGATTATAACCCACTTCCAAAAGAGGGCAAAAAAAATTGCAATATCCATGCATTTGAAATTATTTTTAGCCTTTTATATTGATTTACAATTTTTTGTATAAAAACAATAAAGAGTTCATCAAAGAGTGTATTAAAAAAATATATAATTAAAATAAAAAAATGAATTTTTAAATTATAATATAATAAAAAATTAACTAGAGAAAAAAGGTCCTTGAGGAACAAAGTCATGTGACATGCCAAGACATGTGCATGCGCCTAAAATGTTTTCAACCATCAAAATGACAAGCAAACTTTATGTGAAAAATGATTCACCCAAAAAAATTTATGTGAAAAATGGATAAATTAGGCATTCAAGAATATTCTGCAAATTCTTTATCAAACAAAGAAAAAGGAAATAAAACTGAAATTTGTGTTCGTATGACACCAAAAGCAATATTAAAAGAAAGAAAAATCCAACTATAGCAAATAATGATTTTGGTGTCTAGCTTCGATTGGTGGGTTTGGTCTAGAATGTGTCTACAGTCTCTCATATTTTCTAGAATAGACTCCCCATTTTGGTGTGATTTGTAATTTGACTTATTTTAGTGGTTTTAGGATATTTTTTTGTAAGATCAAAAAAAGTTAATAATGTATTTGGAAATGGCTTTTTTTTAGTGGCTTTTTAGTTATAAAGAAAAATATAATTGACTAATATATATGACTTGTTTTTTTGTCTTAAATTCTTATTTTATCCTTTGGGAAAAAATCTAAGTATTTTGCTCTTGGTACAAAATTGAGGACATGTTAATCTTTTTACAGCCTGTGGTAGCCTTTGGCAATCTAGCCTTTCGAAATACATGTTAGCAGTGTGTCTGCCTTAAAAATTAAAAAAAATAATAATAAAAAAAAAAGATAAATTATAAATACATCTACTGAGATTTGATTAAAATATGAATTGTCCTGTGTGATTCTGAAAATTACATTCCACTTCTTGAGATTTCTAATTTCATAACAAATCGCCATTTTTATTAATAAATTATTAAGTCAATTAACAGTTTTTAATGATATTAGAAATATATTTCAATTAATAATATAGATAGTTTTATTATTGTATAAAAGAGTAATTATGAATTTTATTTTTTGGTTAATTCTGTTAAATAATTTTTTTTGACAATGGAGTATTTGTAATTTTCTAAATCACATGAAGCAATCTGTACTTTAAGCAAAATTCAGAGAATGTATTAATAATTTACCTAAAAAAAAAGATAAAAAAAATGCGTACATAGTTTAAACAATAAAAAAAAAACATTATAAACAAATCACAAAATTTTAAGAGTGGTGATTCATCCCACTAATTTTTGGACCACTAATAGCTCTAATGAGCTTAAAAAAAAAAAACAAACAAATTTGGAGGCCACTGTGCCACATCATTAGTGATACTCTAGAGCTCCCAATTTAATGCTCTAAAACATTATTCAAATTTTAATGTACACACAACCACATGGTGTATGGAACCTACTATATATGAGAGAAAAGTCTATATATATATATATAAAAGATTTATTGTTTGGTTTGCATAGAGCAAGTAAGGGGATGGCTGAAAAATAAATAGCTACGATAGAAAATATGTAAAATATAAATTTTAGAAGAGAGAATTTCGTATTAGATAAAACTTTGGGGGGCATTTGTCATTAAAAGAAAATCAGAGAAAGGAAACAAAGAAAGAATATGTGAAATCGAATCGGCAATGCGCGCAACACCTGGCAGCTGCCGATAATTTGGGGTTCATTTTTCAGGTGACACCAAACCCAATTGATATGTTCAAATTGCCCCAAAAATAATAATAATAAATAAACAAAAATAAATTATTTATACATAACTCGAGCGATTTTGATGAGCTGAGAACTTGGTTAGGCTTAATCCCAATTTGTGATAAGAGTTGCCTAAACCTGCTCAAATTTGACCATAATCCCAATTTATATAGAAAAATTTAGCAAAAACCCCTTTATTGGCTTATTTGGTGAAAAGATAGTCTAATTTATTTTATTTCATAAATCCCCTTAAGGAGAAAACACATATAAGGACAAAATAAAATATCTTTTCTTTTCCTTAAATAATATTGCCATAGTAAAATGTTACTATTTATATCTATTTTGACGATAATAATTTATTTTTATTTTCTTTAAGAATTTCATAATCAACATTGATCTTATTTGACAGATTTTAATGAGAGAATTCTAAAAATATTAATTTTATTAAAAATCGACATCTACATCAAAAATTATATTATTTAAAAGTTTAATATTTTGATAATAATAGTATGTATTAGATTTTTCAAATAAAACTTCTTGTGCTTATCTTTAATGCATTAAAATTTTATTATGTGAGAATTTTAACCAAATCTCCCATTTATATACCTAAATCCAACCCGAGCATAATGAATTGAACTTATCTACCTTACCCTAAATCTGAGTTTCTTTCTTCTTCTAACAATTAGGCCTGCTTAATTTGTTGAAGTTGGATGTGTTATTATTATTATTTTTTGGATAAAATCATTAAGATAGTAAGGATTAGATCTTAGGGTAAGGAAAAACAACAAAGGATATTAAACTCCTTTTCATAAAAATTGGGTCCTTTTCATAAAAATTGAACCCACAAATAGTGCTTGGTATTTCATAAATATATATATATAGAGCAGGTAAAACTGCATTTATATAAAATAAAGGGAAAAGAATAGAGTTTCCACACATACATCCAAACTAACAGACATAGAACAAAGAAGAAACCATAAAAGACTAAAACAAAAGAGAAAACATAAACGACACAAGAAAACTATGAACTCTAGCAGCAACAACACCAAAACCCGAATTACTGGATTATGACATTCCGACGCAGAGGGAATCGAAAAAGACTTTGGTTATTGTAGTTGTCTTCTATCTATAGCTCTCTCTTGTGTTTGTCATGAGCATATGAATGGGCGTGGAAGGGGCTAAAACCAAGAATTACCAATTCATTTGAGCCTGCAAAGATATTCATGCAAACTTTAGGTGTAGGGTGGAAACATTACAAAAAAGTAAATGATTCCTATTTTAAAAAATGGTTCAACACCTCTTCAGTTTAGATAGTGAACTAGAGCGGTGCAATCTGGGACTTGTGGGAATGCATTTTCAGATTGGGTCTTACTAATAAGTGTACCTATGACACAAGTTTAAAAAAAAAATGAACACAAAAGACTTTTTACTAAAATTCAATGCACTTTTATTAAAATTAATACGCTTTTTAACATTTTCACATATTTTCAAGACACTTTTTGCACACCTTCCAACATTAAACAATGCCTAAGAGACGCTTGTTAACATTCGCCTTTCAGATTTCTTACATCAAAATGTTGATTCACCAAACAATGAGCATCCATATGCAAGCACAAATAAAAAAGGTATACGATAAAGGAAGGACAAATTTAACACCCTATACCTGCAAAGTTGTAAAAAGGAAAATTAAACACCCCATTCCTGCAAAAGTTGTAAAGGTTTGGGACAACAAAATTGAGAACATGAGAGTATCACTTACCTACAAAAGAAAAAAACCTTGGGTATCATCAATTAATGACTCTGGCACATGAAGAAAATCAAGAGGTCCAGTACAAAGCACAATCTTAAGGACATGTTTGTGTGCGCATAAGTTAAGTTTTCTGCTGCAAACAAAACTTGCTTGCAAGTTACAACTATATATATTTTTTTTATTGACACCCAGGTATCTGGATCAAAACTCGACTAATCCCAAGAGTGTACAGGCTATCAGCAAGGAGTTTTCTACAAGTGTACCACAGTTAATTCAAGAGTTTTTCTCCTGTCCGATGTCCCCAAGGAATTCTTAGGCCTTGTTTGGTTTGTGTTTCCCAAAAATTTTTGGAAAAAATTCTCTACAAATAAGTTTTCAAAAGTAATCAAACCAAACAAATTTTTCCAAAAAAATTTTCCAAAACTTGTTTGGTTTACAAATTTTCCAAACAAATCTCTCTCATACACATTAAATCAATCACTTTTTCCAAAACTCTCTCAAAATAATTTTCCAAAACATTTTTTGAAAAAAACCAAACCAAACAACTTTTCGTACTTTTATCTCTAAAACTCATCTCCCAAACTCAAACCAAACATACCCTTAGTACCTAGAGATTTCGATCCTGAACCTTGGAATAAGCACACCCCCAAAACCAAGGCCTTGCCACCAGGCTAACCCCTTGGGGTTTTGCAAGTTAGAACTATATAAAGCAGCCAAAAGTAAGAAAAATCTGATATTATGTAATTTAACTGTTGCTAGTCACCAGTAAAAATCACAGAACCACCCGTCCATTCAACAATCACAATAGTAGGAAAACAGAACAGGAAGCTTGAATTAATCGTATTCCAACCGTGTGAGGTACAAAGAAGCAATAAACTACCTTGATCTTGATCAATTGCTAAATGGGGAAAACGACAAAAAGAGGAGGAAAATGGATAGAGGGAACTATGTGATCAAATGGTTCAAATATCTAATGTTTCTGAAAAAGATGGACTAATGAAAGTTTAGCTACAAATACAAGCATGACATTGTGAATGTATCAATGGAACTGTTTCTTGAATGCAGCCTCCATCTCAATGTCTCTGCTTGATATAAAGAAAAATAAATATAAGAAATAGCTACAGAAAGTTCATGTTATTATCATATTCATGACACCGACAAATTAACAATTGAACTGAAGTAGATGCCCATTGCCCATATGTCCTCGTATTCATGGTTCTGGAAAATCACAAGTTCTTTCCTTACTTTTCTCTTTCTTTCCATGTGAGTTGGGTTCTAGAAAGCCGACAATGCCTAAGAAACCCATAAAAGAAAGAAGTAAACCATCCTTCTATTGCTTATGCCATCTAAATACCAAAACATGTTCTTGGTGACCAACTGTATGGAGCTTCTAAGCACAAACCAATACGATGGTGATCATCTCTGAAGATCTTACAAGTCAAGACTAGACAAAGAGCACATTGAACAGTACTGTGGAGAATACTGATCGTGTGCTCTATAAAAAAGTAAATGAATAACATAATAAAATAGAAAAACCAAAAACCAGAATCAGCATTTTCCCAATGTATGAATTGTGCAACTACCAATGGCTCAACTTGACCATGAGAACGGAAGGAAACAAATAAAGCATGGTCGGGCTGTGCCTTAACATCCATGAAGAATATTGAATAATCCACAGCCTTGGAGATTACAATATTAAGTTTCAGACGTGAGTGCCTCGCATCTTCCAAAACCTAAGCAAATTTTCCTCCCTCGTAACCCTAATCAATGCCAAAAGTTCAACACATACATAAATCTTTACCGAATTACCAAAATAACCAAAACAAATATTGAAACACCTATGGCACCTATTAGTAAAAATTATGCTTATCCCCAATCGACAGGGATTAAACAAAAATTTAAACCAGACAATTAAACAAGGATAACCAAGCAATTGTGTAATTAATTCAAATGCCTCAAAGGAACGAGGACTTCTCTGGAACAATTAATCAGTTACAAAGCAAACAAAGCAAACAAAAAGTAATTCCAAGATGAAACTACTAAAATTCACAAAAGTTTACAAGGATACGAATTATAGAAGAAACTACTCCTAAACTAAGAAAGCTACTCCTAGATTATGTTAAGTCTAAAACTAATTCTTTGTGTTGTTGATGATCCTTCTCTCTGCAAACTTTCAGCTTTTATACTTTCGCTTAAAACTCTAGCACATGATCCCACATTCCTTGAAATTTGCTGGCCAATTTTTCCCCAACTGCTGCAACTGCTTCTTCATCTTTCTCCAGCACTTCACACAGACTTGCCACATGTCCCCCATGATCTCTAGCACTACCTTCGGCAGAGGAGACCATTTTACTAAAATCTATAACTACTTGCAACCTCCTTTGCTTCTTTAAACTTTTTATCTTTGTCCCAACTTTACTTTTAAACCCCCAGCCACATCATCACCCAATTTCCCTTCAACTAATGAGCATGATCGACAGAGGAAATTCCTATTAACATCAACATCTCCTAGAAATTAGCCCATGATCTCCAATAAAGCTTGCAACTGCTCCACAATCTTAGCCCATGGCATGCTCTTGCTGTATCGCACATGTGACTACCATTTCCTTGCCACATAATCCTTTGATTAATACACACCCCAACTATGACTTTGTTGCCACATGTCACAATCTGATTTGTGCACCTATCGATAGACATTTTACAAAAATGGGTGAAACCATGCCCCCCTAACTTTTTAAAAATGAGACTTACTCGAATTCTTGAAGAATTATAAAATCAAAATTAAATCGACAGTTGCCCTTTCAACAAACAAACATATATAAAATATATGCCTATGGCCAAAATTCTAGTGATTAAACACCATACCAAAATAGTATCGTCGATAAATTGATGTCACTGTTATTAATGATTATGTACCATTTAATTGGCAAAATTACAATAACACACAATCCAAGTGAGGTATATTATTTCGACAGAGCAAATTGGCAATATTTCAAGAATGTGATCTTCATGTGGTTAATTAGAACCACCTTCCACCAACAGAACTATGCTCTTTGGTCTTATATTATTCAAACAACGTTGGGTCTTTAGCCAATTCACCAACATTGTGATCCAGGGTGTTGAATGCCATAATTTATAATTTTGCATGGCTCAAAATTTCTGAAAAGTTCAACATTTTAAACAATGTCAAAAATACTAAATTCATCATGAATTGGTTGTTCATCACTTTTAGCTATGGTTGGCTTGAAATCAAACTTTTGAACCACATTGTTTGCATCACTCTTTGGAGTAAGATTTGCAAAAAATAGCTAATTTTTTCTTTCACTCATTAATAGGTTAGAAATATTTTTTGAAAACCCAAAAAATATTTCTTTGTGAAATTGCCCCCTTACCACTGAGTTTTTATTCTCATGGCCTTCTGTTTTTGCAACCATGACAATTGATAGAGTAACAGCACCAACATTTGAAGGTGTCTTGTGGACCTCCACCCTTGTTTGACACTGCCCTCTAGAAAAATCATCAATATCACTTCTTAACTCACCACCCAAGCCTTCTTCAATTGTGAAACCAAAATGCTAATAGGTATTACAGAAGGGCTACTCATTTGGCTTTGATGCCTCATCTTTTCCATTGTTCCAAATTAGGATGTTGTCCCACTAGGCGTGCCAAAAGTTGTTAGTAAAAATTATGCTTATCCCCAATCGATAGGGATTAAACAACAATTTAAACCAAACAATTAAACAAAGATAACCGAACAACTGTGTAATTGATTCAAATACCTCAAAGAAATAAGAACTTCTCTGGAACAATTAATCAATTACAAAGCAAACAAAGCAAACAAAAAGTAATTCCAAGATGAAACTACTAAAATTCACAAAAGTTTACAAGGATACGAATTATAGAAGAAACTACTCCTAAACTAAGAAAGCTACTCCTAAATTATGTTAAGTCTAAAACTAGTTCTTTGTGTTGTTGATGATCCTTCTCTCTGCAAACTTTCAGCTTTTATACTTTCACTTAAAACTCTAGTACATGATCCCACATTCCTTGAAATTTGCTGGCCAATCTTTCCCCAACTGCTGCAACTGCTTCTTCATCTTTCTCCAGCACTTCACACAGACTTGCCACATGTCCCCCATGATCTCTAGCACTACCTTCGATAGAGGAGACCATTTTACTAAAATCCATAACTACTTGCAACCTCTTTTGCTTCTTTAAACTTTTTATCTTTGTCCTAACTTTACTTTTAAACCTCCAACCACATCATCACCCAATTTCCTTTCAACTAACGAGCATGATCGACAGAGAAAACTCCTATTAACATCAAAATCTCCTAGAAATTAGCCCATGATCTCCTATAAAGCTTGCAACTGCTCCACGATCTTAGCCCATGGCAGGCTCTTGCTGTATTGCACATGTGACTACCATTTCCTTGCCACATAACCCTCTGATTAATACACACCCCAACTATGAAGCACGGACACCTCTCCGAGGGCTCCATACCAGTGTCGGACACGCGTCGGACACGCGGTGGACACGTGTCCGACACGCAATAAAGAGTGTCCATTTTTTTTTTTGCTTTTTCTGAAGCCGGACACGTCCAGGACACGTTATGGACACTTTCGGACACGCACGGGGTCAATTTTAGAATTTACAAAACATTTTTAGGGTCAATTTCAGAATTTACAAAATATTTTTGGGGTCAATCTGTAAAAAAGCAAAAAAATTTCTGTTTGCCCTAAATCGATCAAAGCCCTAAATCAATCTAAGAGCTTAGCAGAGAACAAAAAGAGAAAGAGAGAAGGCGAAGATTACAGAGGAGAAAGAGAACCTGGTCGCTCGTCATCGCTCGTCGCTCCTCGGCCGTCGCTCGTCGCTCGTAAGGTACACCTCCTTCTTCCTTTCTCGGCTTCGGTCTTCTTCCTTCTTCTTCTGGTCTTCGCCAGTCGATGTTTCTCTCTCTCTCTCTGTGTCTGTCGAGGTCTCCTCTCTCTCTCTCTGGTCTTCTTCCTTCTTCTTCGACTTCGGTCTTTTTCTTTTCTTTTTTTTTTCTATTTTCCTTTTATATTTTTTTCCCTCTATATCTTATTTCAGAATATATATACATATATATTTATTAATTAGTTTTGTGAAAAAGTCTTTTTTTCATTATTTTTTATTTTTTATTTTAATTTTTTTTCTGCTGAGCCATTAAGGCACCATGGAGCCCCCATTTTCAATTTTATTATTATTTTTATTTTATATATATATATATATGTATATTTTATTAGTTTTGTTAATTTTAATAATAATGTGTGTTTATTAATTTTATTATAGGAACAAATTTGTAATTCTAAAACAACGGCTACTGCGGGTGGTAGTTCTAATGATATACCAGATAATGATTTTGATGAGAACAAACCATTGTGGAAGTATGTAACTAAATTGGCAAAACCTGGGAAGGAGGAGGAAATTGCCAATTACAATGTAATTTTTGTAATAATACTTTCAAATGTTCATATACAAGAGCAAGGGCACACCTATTAAAACTTCCAGGAAAGGGAATTGGTGCTTGTAAGAAAATTACAAGTCAAAAACTTTCACAATTGCAAAATGAGAATGATGCTGCTGAATTGAGAATTAAAAATGCTCATCCCAAAAATGTACCACTACCCCCTTCTAGTGTATCAATTGGTAGTAGTTATGCTTATGAATCAAAGAAAAGGAGGACATGTGCAAGTGGGAGTGAGAGTGGGAGTGGGAGTGGAAGTGCGCCTGGGAGTGGGAGTGCTATTGAGAAAGCATTCAACATGAAGGATAGAGAGCAATTACATTTTGAAATTGCTAGGATGTTCTACTCAGGGGGGGTACCATTTAATCTTGCAAGAAATCCTTACTATGTTAGCTCTTACACATTTGCTGCAAACCATAATATTCCTGGATATTTGCCTCCCGGTTATAATTTGTTACGAACCACATTACTTCAAAAGGAGAGGGCAAATATTGATAGATTGTTGCAACCAATTAGGGGCACATGGAAGGAAAAAGGGGTGAGCATTGTTAGTGATGGTTGGAGTGATTCTCAAAGGAGGCCTTTGATTAATTTTATGGCGGTGAGTGAAAGTGGACCTATGTTTATTAAGGCAGTTGATTGTTCTGGAGAAACTAAAGACAAATATTTTATTGCAAATTTGATGAAAGAAGTGATTAATGAGGTTGGGGCTAGTAATGTTGTTCAAGTCATCACAGATAATGCTCCTAATTGTAAGGCAGCTGGACAACTCATTGAAGCTCAATTCTCTCATATTCTATGGACTCCTTGTGTAGTGCACACATTAAATCTAGCTTTGAAAAATATTTGTGTGGCAAAGAATATTGAGAGGAATGAGGTCACATATGAAGAGTGTAGTTGGATTAGTGATATTGTCGGAGATGGTTTGATGATTAAAAATTTTATCTCTAATCACTCAATGAGATTGGCTATGTACAATGAATTTGTGTCATTGAAGTTGCTATCGGTTGCCGAAACACGATTTGCCTCCACAATTGTGATGCTCAAGAGGTTGAAGCTTATAAAACATGGGCTTCAAGCAATGGTAATTAGTGACAAGTGAAATTGCTATAGAGAGGATGATGTTGGGAAGGCAAAATTTGTAAAAGAAAAGATTTTAGATGATGTGTGGTGGGACTACATTGATTATATTCTTTCCTTCACGGGTCCTATATATGACATGCTTAGGGCTTGTGATACGGACAAACCTTACCTTCACTTAGTGTATGATATGTGGGACACAATGATAGAGAAAGTGAAGATGACAATATATAGGCATGAAGGGAAAAGAATAGATGAGGAATCTACATTTTACAATGTGGTACATCAAATTCTCGTGGATCGTTGGAATAAAAACAATACTCCTCTCCATTGTATGGCACATTCATTGAATCCAAAGTAAGTATCACATTTAAATTTGTTTTAGATATTTCATTTTAATGGACTTATCTAGTCTTTCTTGAAATAATTATTTTTTCCTATTTTGTATTATAGATATTATAGTGATGAGTGGCTCCATGAGGATCAAAATAGAGTTCCTCCACATAGGGATGAAGAGGTGACATGTGTTTTAAGAGGTATTTTGAAGATATCACAGAGCGAACCAAGGTGATAACTGAGTTTGGAAAATTTTCGGGTTATGTTGAAGAATTCTCGGAGTATGATTCCATTCATAATAGGTGGCACATGGACCCTTATACTTGGTGGTGTGCATATGGTGCATATGCACCATCTCTTCAAAAACTAGCTTTGCGATTACTTGTGCAACCCGCCTCTTCATCTTGTTGTGAGAGAAATTGGAGTACTTACTCCTTTATTCACTCAGTGAGAAGGAACAAAATGGTTCCTCAAAGAGCGGAGGACTTGGTATTCATTCATAGCAATCTTCGTCTTTTATCAAGGAGGAGCTCCCAATACTTGCAAGGAGAGACAAAAATGTGGGACATTGCTGGAGATAACTTTGACTCACTTGATGATATTGGAATGCTTGGTATAGCTAACCTCTCACTTGATGAACCGGCTATGGAGGCAGTCCTATTTACAGATGAAGGAGAAGATGGAGGTGGTGGTGAAGATGTTGTAATAGTTTCCTCTACTTAAATTCACATTTTCTGATATTTATGGATTTTGTAATAGATGATAGTTATTGGTACATTGGATAATTTTATATTTTGTGGTTTGATTTTCATACATTTTGTAACAATTGATGGTTGGTAGCTTCAAATGACATGTTATGTATTGATGGAATGCAATTTTATGTTATTTCAATGTTTTTTTAATTATTTTTTAATAATTTTATGACATATAATAAATAAAATTAATTATATATATTGAACGTGTCCCCAGCGTGTCGTGTCCCCCATTTTTTGAAAATTTGCGTGTCGGCGTGTCCGTGTCGTGTCACGTGTCCGTGTCCGTGCTTCATTGATACCAAATAAAAATATCATATGTGAACGCTATCACAAATAGAGAGAAAGTGCATTTGTAAAATTTTAGCAATGGGAATAATATTCCATTAAAAAGCTTAGGAGTTGAGTTTGTTTTTGATAAATTTTAAAAATGGCATCTCAAATACAAAGTGAAGATGTTTTTACGGTTTTTTCCCGAAAGATCTTGTAAGAGTAGCTTCATTGGTCATTATCAAAATAGCAATACCAAAGTTCGTATACTATAGGGCTAAAATGTCAAATGTTGAAAATGTTACAATAGTTATAATTTGACATGCCACTTTTAAAAATGTTAAAATTTTCAAATATTACTCCACCAGTGCAAATGAAGCTTACAATTGGAGAAATTTTTGTTGATCGGTAACAGGCACATCACTAAATCATATTGGGTTACTTCTGTTGGCAAACTTGTACCTTATTGAAAGATTAATCATTCGAGTCTTGTATGTGAGAAGTTTCTTCTCACCCCAAGATAAGGTCTTTGATGTACCTAAAATACACATTTCTTTGGACCACTTTGCCCCTCAGTTTTCACTTCCAAAATATATTGAAATCAATGACTTCCCCCATCTATTTGAAGCATAAAATTTAGTGCAAGTACAAAATAAGTAGATGCCTTAAAAAAAAAAAAACCTAGTAAAAATAAAATTCAAGTCCCAAACAAGTTATACATTTTGTTTAATTGTTTGATAGGACTCCTAAACAAGTTCTAACTTTTTCGGAGCAAAATATAGAACACAGATTTAGTAGGACCAGAATAGGGCAAAAATCACATCTTGCGTATAAATCCCAGATAAAGTACTCTTTGGGACAAAACCCACAAGAAAAAAAGAAAAAAAAATTTGATCACAACATTAATTTTACAAGCTCATCACAAAGCCACCATTTTAAACCACAATGCATCAATATTTATTTTCAGCATACACTTTAACCCATTTATTCATCAAATTGGAAAAAAATAATATCAAATAAAATCAAAAACAAAACAGACAGCTACATTAACATCAAAACAAACTAATAACAATATCATATATAAACAATTGAATTTTTCTATAAGGCATTGTCATCATCATAATTTGTACACCACAAAGGAGAAGTTCTCACCGGTATTGATGAATTACAACACACTTCCAATCTACCCTGAAACCTCTCCTCTCCAGTCTTTAGCATGGCCGGGAGCGATAAAAACACGCCCTTCTCGACACAACGCCGGTGCCTAGGCTTAATCCTATTTTCCAAGCTAAACGAAAAGTAGTGTGGAAATTCCTTCAGTTCTTTCAATTCCCTCCCCATTTCCACCATAAAGTAATCGAATTTGGGCTCGAAATTGTGTTCGATGCTGTAACAAAACAGAGATGGAAATCTACGGAACATGGAGATTGTGTCTCGGTAATTGAATCCGATTTTTTGAAAGTAATCAATTCTGGGTATGAATTTTTGTTCGACGGAGGCGGAGAGGAGGGAGGTGTGTTTGTTGATTTCGGCTATGCCGATGCTCTGGAGGAAGTATAGGGTGGGGCGGAGGCGGGACTCGACGGAGCAGAGGAGGAGGCGGGGGCGGCGGTGGATGACGCGGCGGAGGTCGGAGCCCTCCACGGCGGCTTCGCGGAGGAGGAAGGTGAAGATGGGGACGAGGGTGGAGATTTTGGAGGTGAGGATTTCGGGGCACATGGCGGCGATGCGGCGGAGGTCGGAGGAGGTGAGGCCGGCGGCAGAGCGGAGGAAGTCGACGACGGATTTGATGTCGGCGGCGGCGGCGGAGACGATGGGAGGGTGGGTGGAGAGGAGGGAGAAGAGGTCGATCCCAATTGAATCGAGGTAGAGCATTTTTTCTTGGAATTCGGAGTGGGGGTTTGGGGGGGTTTTTGGGGTTTTGGGGGGTTTGGGAGGGAGGGAGATGGTGGTTTTGGTGGAGGAAAGGGTGGGATAGTGGAGGTTTCTTGGGCGAGAAAGTGAGGGAAAGTTGGGGGGTTTGGTAGGAAAGTTGAGTTTGGGGGGGAGAGCATTGGTGGTGGTGGTGTTGGGAGAGAGATGGAGGGTGTCTTGCATATTGGGGGGGAGGTTGTTGCTACATGTTTGGACGGAGAGATTTCTCTCCAGGTACAGAAAAAAAATTTATGAAGTGAAGTGTCAATGGATAAGGCTGTGGAGATGATTCGAACGATAGTGCTATCGGAAATCCGCGGTTCGAGAAAAGAAAGGATAAAATGTGTATAAAGATGGGTTTTAAATGTTGGGTTCTACAACGCCTTATTTTGGGAAGATGTTAAAAAATGAGTTTTTGGCTTTTAATTAAGTTTTTGATTTTTTTAGATAAATAATTTAGGAAGTTGATAAAAAGTGATTTTTTGACATTTTTTATTAATGTTTATTTATGATGTCAAATCATAATAAAATGACCAAACTATCCCTATTTATTTAAAATATTTACAACTTTACCTATGTAACACATTTTGACCTATGAGGGTAAAATTATAATTTCACCGTTGACTAAAAACCAACTTCCCAAATGAAAAAAAAAAAGACAAAAAAGTCAACTACAAAATGCTAACTTTTGGCTTTTGTTACAAACCAAAAAAAGTGACTAAAAGCCAACTTTCCAAAATAACCCAAACTCTTTAAATGGGCCTTGCTGTCAAATATGGTCTGCTTTTCATAGGCCCAACAAATTTCACTAATATTTTATATTTATTAAAAAAATTAAAATTAAAAATAAAATACTGTTACAAAAATAATGAATTTTATAATGAAAAATGTCTTAGACCCCCACCACCCCCACTGATTTTTGATTGGCTAAATTTTTTTTTTTTTTTGGTTGTTGTTGTTGTTTGGGTCTTCCACTCACTGCTCCCACGTGGGGGTAAGGGTGCTGGGGGTATAGAGCATGACTGTTTTATAATCTATAATCTATAATCTATATAAAAAGAGTGTAAGAATGGTGTAACGTATGGTGTAACACTTGGGCTTCTTAGTGCAAGTCTGTGGCTTCTTTGGTTTGCAAAGCAGATTTGGGCTGGCTACGTGGCCTTCAGCTTAGCCACACACACGACAGTAGAAACAAACAAATTCCATCATTCTTCCTACAAATTTCGACTTCCTTCTTGTTGCTACTACAAATTTTTCAAAGGTTTCCTGTAGAGATTTTTTTCGCTGCTATTTGCTTCATTTCCAATACCATTCCTCGTAGAAATTTCCCAAAACAGTGGTTTGTTGTTTGCCTATTTCCCAAAGCTCCTCCCTGCCAAATTTTGTTGCAGATTTTGGACTACCCACGTGGAATTCAGGCCAAGTTTGGCATGACCTAAATAATACAAAAAGTCACTATCCTATATAAGTCACATCATGTCACGACCCAAACCCGTCCCTATAGGTTTAGCATCGTAACCGGCCAGTAATCCGTGATTACCAAAGGCCTGTTTAACAGTCAAACAATAATACAGAATACAGGGGCATGGCGGAAGCCAAAACAGTAAATAGACAATGTCCAATGAGCTGTGACAATCTGTATGCAAAAAAACTTATTATTCATGTGCATATATACAATCAGTACCAAGACAGTATGTACAATATATACAATCATTCAAGATAGGAACTTAATCCCTGTTAACAGTACAGTGCAACATCATTCAGTCTAAACAGTAGTTATATAACAGATACAAAAAGGGGAAACTAAAACACCCCAAAAGCCCTGGCTTGACAGGCTCGGAACCTCGCAGTGAGGCACAGTGGTTAGCTTGACAAAACTGGAGTTTACCCTGACGCTTCTAGCAACGGTCCGGTGCCTATACACCTACATATATATATAAGCAGTGAGCTAAAGCCCAGTGAATAACATAATATGTAAAGAGGTTAAGAATGAATGTCCTTTCAGTATAGAAAACAGTCGATTAATTCAGTATATCGGTCATTCAGTCATAACAGTCATATGTGGTACATCCAATAGCAGAACAGTACAGTAAACAGTAGGTCTTGAAAGACCGAACAGTCGATGATGGCCATCAATAATGGTTCCAAACATGGGAATTGACAGAGATCTCTGTAACAGTAGCAGTAACAGTAATAGTAACGGTAGTTGCTAAGGATGCCTATAGCGATCCCGGGTTTACCCTTGTTATACAGTGATCCGGACATGTGTCCGTGGATGTTGGTAGTTGTTTATTATCTTGTTTACATCCTTTCTTATTTGGTATTTGAGTTATGGGATGTGTTGGGCAGGTTTGTTACAGGTTGGGTGAGTTTAGAAACCAAAACTAGTTGCCCAGATTTTAACCTGTCCGCTCGAGCGGGGGTTTTGGCCCTCGAGCGGAAATTGCACCCATCCAGTATTTCTTGTGCAGTGTTGGACGCTCGAGCGTGGGATTGGCCGTTCGAGCGGGGTTGTGTGAGTGACGCTCGAGCGGGGAGTTGGAAGCTCGAGCGGAGACCTGGTTCTGTAAAAGTTCTGGGGGTGTGTATTCGCCGCTCGAGCGAGATTGTTGGCGCTCGAGCGGGAATCTGTGAGTGACGCTCGAGTGGGGTGTTTTACGCTCGAGCGGGGTGACTGGGTTTAAGTTCCGTGGTTTGACTTTTCAAATCACTTTTTCACTTTCTCTTCTCTCTCCTACTTTTCCAAAAAACACCATTGGTGAGTCTCTCTCTCTAGATACTACCTTCTCTCTAGGTTTTGATCTAGTAGGAGTGATTTGCTCATCTTTGGCCTTTACAAAAAGGGTTGTTGATCGTCGAGGGCTACTTTTTAATCTGAAAATTTTGAGTTTTGGAGCACGTTGGGTTTTGTCATCTTCTCCTTTGAGGCTCCGAATTTGAGGTAGGGATATCCTACTCCTCTCTATGGATTTTGTCTTTAAATTTTGGTATTTTGAGACGTTGGGGTTGGTTTGGTAATTTTGTGAAAGTTTGGGGCTCTTGTGTTATTTTTACAAAAGTTGGAGTTTTATTTATAATAAACCTAAATGCATGTTTGTCGCAGAGAAGTGAAATAAATGTTGAATCATTGATGAAAATGGGACCTAAGGGTTGACATGGTAATTATGGAAAATGACCTAATTACACCGTTTAATTAATTGGGATAATTAATTGTGAGAAATGAAGAAATGAAGTGGAAATGTAGAGATTGGAAAAGTATGGGGTTAAAGGGTGTAGTTGAATTATTTATCACTCACCGAAATGAAATGTTGATTAAATATCCATTTGTGCATTTATTTTCTGTTTTGAAATAACTGCTTTGGGCTATCGGTGGAGGATAGTCGTGATTGTTGTAGACAATACATGATGGTTAGGCAAACTGAAACTAATCACTCGAATGTGTCATTGAGATTGACGATTGAAAGAATACATTAAATTTATGTATTGTGTGATGATGTGTATACTTGTTGTTTATATGCATTGTGTTGTGTTGGCGGAGATAGGGGATGTACTCCACGGTTTAGGGGAAGATAGGGGATGGACCTCTAAACCGGATGTGTTGGGAGGAGATAGGGGATGGACTCCATAGATAGAGCTCATATGCTTATCTATTATTGTGTTGACAGAGCTCATATGCTTGTCATTGGAAGTGTGATAGTGCTTATATGCATATCTGTGGAAGTGATGATATAGCTTGTATGCTTATCTGTTGTTGTGTGATATAGCTTGTATGCTTATCTAATATGATATGGGAAGTGTTTGATATGAGTTATTGTCTCATATGAGTTGTTTGGCCAGGTTCTGAGCCATGGTTGAAATTTGAGAATTGAAAGAAATTGGAAAAATGAGTTGTACCATGGACTTGTATGTCATGAAAATGTAAAGTGTGATAAAGGAAAGAATCAGTGTGGACCAACTATCAACTGCTAATCTTTTAGTCATTGTTCATATTTGGTTTAGTGTATTTCTACTGGGCTGTGGCTCACCCTATATGGGAACATCATTTTCAGGTACAGGTAGCATGCCACCTCCAAGGACATAGCTTGGGAGGCTAGAGGCGGACATACTTTTGTCGTTTTACTTTTGATGTATTACATGTAAATTCAAGCCAAGGGCTTAAGGTGTAAATGAGTTATCACTCTTTTGTTGTAACCAAGTGTTAACTTGGAAAGTTGTAAGCCCGTAGGGCATTTTGCTTTTGTTGTTAACATGTAATACTTTTGTAATCAAACTCTGATAAATAGAAGAATGTGGGTATTTCATATGTTAATGAATGTCGTATTTGATGGGTTTAATGTTATTATTTTGAGGGCGCTACAATGCCACAGTACAATTCAGAATAGAGAACAAACATTCATTCAGTTAACAGTAAACAGTTTAGAAAACAATTCAATTGATCATTCAGAAAATATTCATTTTCGAACATATCTTTACAACATTGTTACTCACAGAGTTCTGGGCTACAGATAAGCTAGAGCGCGTCTCCGAAAGCCAATCCTACACAGTTGCAGAATGAACACACACTAAGCTACACAGTTGGGAAAATAATAACTTAATCCCTATCTTGACTTGGTGTGGTTCTACCTCAATATTCTCATCAAGATGCCTTAAACTAGGCCTAAGAATGCTTAGAATGGAATGAGGATGCAAAGATGCACTTTAAATTTTTTTTCAGAATTTTCAGAAAACAAGGGTCTCGCTCGAGCGTGGGATTCCCCGCTCGAGCGGACATACAAACAAAAGCCTCCACTCGAGCGTAAACTTTCCCGCTCGAGCGTATTGAAAAAGTACTAGATGTGTGAAAATCACGCTCGATTGGGCGCTCGATACCCGCTCGAGTGTGTGACACAAGTCCTCGCTCGAGCGTCTAATACCCCGCTCGAGCGAACTATAAAACAGTGCAAAGTGCTGGAAGCACGAATTTCACGCTCGAGCGCCAGTCACTCCGCTCGAGTGTGAGTCCAAAATCTAGAAATTTCAGATTCGAACCTCAAGCTCAAAACCAAGTTTTAATGTACTAAATTCGACCATTTTGGGCTAATTTTTCGGAAAACACTTCAAAACTCATAATATAACATGTTTCAAAGGTCAATTTGAGAAATCAAAGCCCAAAAGTAGTTCAATTAAACTCAATTTCAAACCAATTTCATGAATAAGACTAATATGGAACATGCAAGAATTTAAACACTTCAAAGCTTCAAATGCTAGCTCAACTGAGCCAATTCTTTTCAAAACAAGATGAATTCATGGTCCTTAGCAAA